TACAAGGTAACATTGTAAACATTTATATAAAATAGGACAAAAATGCAATATTCCTGTTACTGTGTTTCAACAAACTAATGCACATCATGATTGCATGTATTCACTATTAAAAATGGTTTCGCGAAGTGCAATTTTTCGCAGCAGCGTTTTACGTTGCCTAGACATTCCTTTCCGAGCGGCGATTTTTTGGACATCCTCGCATTTATAACAGGCAGTAAATTTACTATTGTTCAAGTCTTTTCCATTCAGTAACTATACTCGAGAATTCGTAATGATTATGAATTCAATGTTGTAAATGCTTAGCAACAGCTGACGTTGTGGTACGAAATTTCAGTATAATCCTGTTTTCTTCGGGTAAATTTTAACTTATCTATTGGATAGCTATCCACTTCACTACACTGTAAATTTTAAGGGGTAAAAATTACCCTTGTTTGGGGTAATTTGTACCATTCTCAAGGAGGTAATTGACTAAAGGCAACATATTACTCCAAGATCTGGGGTAATTCGCCTTTCTTTCCCCCTCAAATATGAGGTAGAAAGTCGAAAAGTTACCTTTACCCTTTTTGGGGGTAAAAAATTCTTTTGGGGGTAGAAATTACCTAATACGTGTTGGGTAACAGAAGTTGCGAAGAAATATTTTCAAAATGGCGTATTTTGACAAAAGGAGTGGGAAGGCATTTATTTAATTATATATCTACTATGATGGCAATAATTACATTTACAAAGTATCAGAAACTAAAATTTTTTGCCGGCTAAGGAACGAAAGAGACAAAAATGAAGTTCTCACGCACGCTACAAACTTCACTGAACGACCAGTCAATCGTCATATATTAAATTAAAATTAGTGTGTTGTTCTCGGTATGGGTATGGGCTGACGGTTTAAATAATTAAACGAACTGCTTACTGATTGCAAATTTTGTACACATAAGGATGCTAAAACGGTCTCAAGACAATATGCTGTTCTGAACTTATGAATTTCTGAAAGATCGATATATTTTGGCGAAGGCTGTTTAGGGCTGAACCAGGCCGGCCTACCTCTGCAGGAGGGGTAGCTGCGAAATTTACCTCATGCGGGTGGGGGAATGCGATGTCGAGCGGCAGCAAAATGGCGGATGGTGGATTTTTGTCATTTTGAGTTTTGACCATTGGTTGACTAAATTAGGTGGATACATAACAAATGTGAGCTTTTTTTGTTCTCATAATACAAATGCCACTTGGTGTGTGGATTGATACGGTATTGTTAAATGAGCAGATTTTTAAATTATCCAGTACTGTATGAACATTCGGAAGTCGGAACATGGGAATCCGAATGAGATTTCAATATTTCATGCCATCGTGAGTTGAATTCGTGATATCATCAAGCCTCTGGGATTTTGATAAAAAATATGTGAGTAATTCTAAAGTTTTTTTAAAAGTATTTTTGTTGACATAAGTACTTTTGAGATATACTATTTATATTATACTTGGGGGTGTCAACTCGTTACTCATGTGCTCTACTGTTTCTTACACGATGTATAAATACATGTGCCCTGAAAGTGGCCAAGTGATGGCCCTACCAAGCCAGCTCTAAGCTGTACAGTAATCTGTACATGAGAGAATCAGCTCTCTCCAGGAGTGGACATAGACAATTTGGCTTCCACTGGACTTGTCATTTTTAATATTTCTAAGCCCTATAAAGGCCAAAATTATATACTGATATAATATATATGATCCTCTTGTCCTATATGCCCAGCAAATTTTCAAACAAATGAAACAATCTACAATACATACAGTATTACAGTATAGCTAAACACTACAGATCACTGAATATCAACTACATATAATCCAACATTGCAAACCAAGTTTTCTATAAATACATATTGTTATATAGTCAGTGTCAAAGTTAAATTTTTCTGTTTGCTAATTGGTCAATACCATATCACGTGCTAGTCCACAAAACGTCATGTTCACTAACCGGTCCAAAATGGAAAAATTATTGACTGGTCAATAACAAAGGGGGGTAGTGAACATGCTTGTCAACTGAGAAGTTCAAAGCCCATTCAATAGTTTTTCAAAGATGTCTGTTTGGTTCAAAGCAAATAATATTAACATTTTTCATTTGCTTTGGTAAGTTAATTTTTGGCACTTGCTATATAACAAAACACTTATTTACTCAATAAATAATTGTTAAATGGTAATTTGCAATGACTAATGAGTGCATGGCATGCAGTTAAATTGGATACAAAAGTATGATACAGTAGATGTAATGTATACACCATAATTGCATAATTGAGATGAGAAAATTATGCACTGTAGTCTATAATGTATATACTATTGGAACTACAATATCTGGCAATAACATGCATCTAACAATTACATTAATACTGCACTGTATAACTACAATGTTGACTTAAGATATTGATCAATAACTAAGTGTGAAGTCGTGTGTTTCATATGAGAATAGAATCCAATACTGTGTTGCATCCACCATCTCCTCTGATAATTTACAGTACATATACAGTATGTATATACTGCTAGGTATTTTTTATACAACTGGTATTTCATGCTTTGGGCACACAACTGTTTTGACCTGCTCTTGAGTGGTAATAGTAATCAAATGTAATGGGAAAGGATATGGGAGCTGGTGCAATTTCACTATTATCAACTCTGGTGTGTTGGTTACTTCATATGCATTATAATGACTCACAAATGATGCTGTGTGTAGGGCTTCAGTAATCATCCAAGTTTTTTCCAAATGTTTTTCAACTACACATATCTCTTTTAGCGTTACAAAACAAGGACTTTCTTCTTCGTCATGACCGATGCATAACACACACCCAACTTTATATTTTATTCCATTAATTGAAATCCATTTTGGCCTAAAAGAATTGAGCAGATATTATTTCATAACTACTAAACAACAACAAGAGATTGTAAGTATAATAATTTAATAATTATTTATATAGGTCTGTTTCAAATTTCAAACTATTCATCTGCTGAGTGCATTAATAACAATAGGTTAACAGCTGAAATATCTCATTACCCTCTGTACTTACTGTTTCTAATCCATTTGGCACATGGAAAGTTCATGGTTTGAAACAGGTGATTCAATACAATTTCAAAGTATTAATATCAACCTAGCAGCAACCACTATGAGAAAACTATATACCTGTAGTAAGTTACATGTAAATAAATACTCTGTATACAGTATTAGGTAGATCTTCCTCAATCTTGCAGTTGGGATTTGATCATGAGAATTATGCACTCTGCAATATACAGTACTGTCTGCTCCCTATATGCCCGGTTGAAGTGAATACTGTATACACAGCAAATACAGGCCATATGAATTTAAACTTACTTGGTTATGTTGGTAGTTTGGTCTATTAAATTCTCCTTCTCTTTTAGTGAGTTATAATATTGAAGATCCCCAGCATGAAATGATGAACCTACATGTTAATAAATGCAAATAAGTAGAGTACATGCACATACTATTATTTTTGTATGTATATATTTAACCTACTGTCTTCACTGCCAGTTACAGTAACTGTTCCACTTGTTCGGGGTTAGACAATATGAATAAAATCATAATAGGTGCCTATTGCCCGACCTTGCCATTATGACATTACATAGCGTATTTTACTAAAACTAGCATGCTTTGCCAGCAGGCCGGCTTAATTGCATAATGCTTGCATAGCCTTCTGGCCTTGGTACAGTAATAATGCAATGAATTATCATAATGGAAAGGTCTATTAATGGTAAAACTTGTATAGTCAGAAATGCTGACAGTACGAAACGCTAAATGTACGGTAGCATTTTGGCTCAGTTAGTGTTTTTAAATACATTTAATTGACTGTATCTTTATTTTTCAATAGTTACTTGTGACACTATAAAGTACTTGGTCCAACTTCCATGCCTTTTTCAAGAAACCCTGATTCATGATTGTCAGATTGCAATTTATAACAAATCCATTGCCGGTGGCGCATTGTCAAAGTGTATGGTAAGTTGGTATAATTTCCAATGACTGTTGACAACTTTTTAAAGTAATGGTGTTTTGCTTCAAAGCGCATGCACCAAGCACGAACAAGAGGGCCCAATCTAAAAGTTTGATAAAGAGAATAATCCATACATGTATGCATCATTCATGGGTGTTCTGCTGGTTGACTATAAATATACTGTGTACAGTAGAGATTGACAGGGTCTTGATTAACAACTGTATTTGTGTCATCGGTAACAAATACAGCAAAGTGAAAGGATTGAATATCTATGGCGTTCTACATGAGCGTCATAATGGGTCGTTCCAGAAAAGGTCCATACTCCCCCCGTGGAGGAAATTTGTGCCATCCGGAGGGGGGGGTATAAAAGTTCGTTTCTGATAACATCCGAAGGAGGTAAGAGGGTTAACTTCAAATTTCCTGCGTGGAGGAGGTGTGGATGTTTTCTGGAATTACCCAATGAAACATGCCACCAAAATTAGGTATGCTAACTTTCCAAAGACGTCCGTGTTGACAAAAGATCATGTGCTTTCTTAGGTTCTCTATTGACAAGTGAGATTTCAAAAATAAGATTCAGGTTTTTACAGCAGTTCAACTTAACAGGACAAGTTTTGTTCTATTGTAACGTAGGATGTATAACTAACCTTAACTTACACATAGATTATGAATATGACAATCCCACAGTCTAATGTACAGTACCTGCTGATATAAGATGGCATGTGGACCATAAAATGCATCTTTGGTATGACGCTGCATTCTGGATAAAGCCTTTTGAATTCATTATGATGGTCATCAATGAGGACCTTCAGATAGGCTATTTGATCATTTGATACTGCAGGGGCAAAACAAAGAGAAGTGATTTCCAATAACTTCAGGAAAAGAATCCACCGGTCATCTTCGAATGGAATCAAATCTCCCATGAGCAAGGGTAGATGTGTTGCCAAGCACCACATCTGTACAGCTGTAGAGTGATAATGATTTCTAATTACATTACTTTACTTTAGAGAGTGCGAGAAAAGTTGGTATGTCTCATGATTTAAACTTACCATGTTGTTTCAGGTTGTTGTCATTTGACGATAACTTTTGTTCCGTTATTGGTGATGGCCTATTACTATCATTGTAATATCCAAAGTCGTATTTGGCAATTCGGTCATTCAAGATTTCCAAGGTAAGGTAACGTTCCACTTTGATGTAGTGTTTCAGCATCTCTTTTGTTTCATACTGTAGAACCCCTTCTAAAATATCATGCATTATGTCTGGTGGCAAACCTCCAATGACATGATAATAGTCACTCTCGTTAAGGATGGATCTTCGGTTGAGTCCATATGTTTTGCTAAAGTGCTCGCCATATGTTTCAACTTGGTTAATTTGGTCTTTGTAGTCTTCCTTTGTTCGGAGAACAAAGTCTTTTTCATGAAACTGAAAATAAATTGTTATTACTATGGATTATACCTTGCTCTACTTGGTTCTTTTTCCAGATTTTTTGACTATTAATATACCGTATTGCATGGAACATGTACGAATCGAGGTCGAAACGTCCAAACAAATGTTTTTAAACAAAGTGATTGCGGGATGAATAATATCAAAAAATATTTTAATTTTGGAAAGCACAGGCTATAAATTGGCACTTTTTATTCATGTTCTTGCTTTAAAAAGTCTGAGGTTGAGAAATCCATGAAATTTTTAATCTACAGTAAATCTCTAATGAGGTTATGCAGAGTTATATGAACCATTCATGTACATTAGCTGATCAGGACGAATAACTCGATCTAGAGTACAGTATAATATTTGCACAGATTACAATGTGCATGTTACAGTGTAGCTTTTAATGATGTTCTTTATCATATACTGTTAATGTCTGGTTTGAAATCTTTGTTAAAGTACAGTATCGGTATTAGTTGATGATTATTACATGTTGTCTACCTTAGATTTCATTTCCTCAGCAGTAGCAAGGCAGTAACGACATGGTCTGTGTGCGCTGCAACTCTCTTTGAATCCTCCCAACTGTTGGGCTCCAAGATTATCAGCAGATGTGTACACTATGGATCCACAGAAGTTCTGTTCTGTTCCCTGGACAGTGAAGGGATGACCTGTGTCCTTGAAGGAAGCAAAAGAAAAGTTGTAAACATCACTGTCTACTTCAGAGTTATGGCTGTAATATTTGGGATGATTAGCACAAAAAATGAAAAAATGTACAATACAGGGTTTGCTTATTAGCTAGTATTCAATTTAGTTACATTTTTTACAAACTGCCAGCAGTTTGGTTGGGACTAACACATTGGTTTAATGATGAACTATCCCTCACACACACACTTGTTACAATGTTGTTAATACAATTGTTACAAAAGTGTGCAACTGCTCAACTACCATCAACATTGTATGAGGGGATATAAATGTGTTTTCTGAAGGACTGACAAAGGTGCTCTGTGCTCATTTTGTATTGTTAATTGTTCAAGTAAATTTGTCCCAGTTCATAGATCTCATTTGTCAAATAAACATGTAATCAATGATGATCTGTTCTTTTTTGAAATAATGTAATTACCTGTTCTAGCTTCTTCAAATCTGCCATGAATGGCCCAAGGACTGCATTGATACCATACTGTTTGATATTTGATGTTTTACACAAACAGAGAAGCTGAATAGCCTTCATTGATGAACGATTTAAGGGATTGATATTACCCAACGTGTAGTAGAATGCTCCTATAAATCGAAAGTATGTTTTAATGAATTAACTCTTTGAATTTCTTTGTAGTACACAATAATTATATTAATAATAATTATACTTGCTTGAGACGCAGTTGTTGGGGGGGGGGGCTCAATCGAATTTGTGGGTATTAAAATGGGGGAATGTTAAATATTTAATATCTATGAAATATAGTTCTGCTCAAATAGACAATATGTTAAAGGTAATCTACAGTCTGATCTGCGCATCGGTTCTGCTCATAACAATGAGAGACTCCTTGATTTAGAAATTGCCCAAATTTCACACAGATTAAGCAAATATAGATTTAGTTTTCCCCTCATAAAAATAAGGCACTAGGCCTACAACCTGTTACTAGCAAGTTAAATGCATATATTAAATATTTACCAAGTTTATGTATGGTTGCTCTTGATCCAAGTGGATTACATGTTTCCAGATCATCGTAATATAGCATGATCTGTAGAGCTGTGGGTTTTACCGAAAAGAGAGGATGCATTTTGAATTGATAGCCATCACAGTAGTCTCTCATGAGCCCATCAATGCTCACATGAGGATTTTTAATCTAAAAATAATTATGAATAAAAAATTATAAAACCTATAGGTTACTTTATGTGTGGCTCTCTTAGATTACTTAGGTCAAGCTTAAGTCCACAATGTATAGTTTGATTTCTTTCAATATTAAACTTTGAGTAGGTTTCATGCCAAACATGCGGCACTGTCAAATACTTTTAATTGAGACCATTACCACATGATCAACAGAAAATATTCCAGTTCAGTATTGGTGGAACTACTTTTGTTTCACATAGGTATTTCATAAATGCTAAAACAATTTTTTGAAATTAATAGCACATTGAACATCGATATTCTGTTTATATGTGGAAAACTCATTGAATCATCATATAGCCTTAATGGAACCCCCTTTTTCAAAGAAATCTGCAACCTATGTTAGCCCCAGTCAGCACATCCCTGATTTTGCTTTCTCCTATGAAAAGGAGCCTACTCTGTAATAAACTATAAGTATATTGTTTCTAAAAAGAACTATGCAGCTGCCGTTTTAAGATATACCCAGTGAGAAAGATGGGCAAATATTTAGCTCACCACCTTTTTTCAATCACGTTAACAATTTATGTAAAATTGTAATTGTGTTCAATATACCTCTTCAAGAATAAACTCATCATTAAGAAGCTGTTGAAGGCTGTCCAAGAGTGGGATGTAATATGCTTCATCATTGACTTGGGTTTGCTGCATTATACCTTTCCTTCTTTTAAAAACTTCTCTACGCCCCAGAACAATTCTTTGTGGTTCCTATCAATAAAATTATAAAATATTAATTAGCTATATACACATTATACAGTAGTTTGGGGGATGTTAAAGTCTTAAAGGTGTGACTTTCACCTCCATACTTTATATAAACAGTCCTAATTTTTGTAATATGATAAGTATGACTATTGGCAAAGCAATTAAAAAACTAGCTACCTTTAATCCAAAATGAGCTTTGTAGTAGGCAAATTGTTGTGCTTCGGTTTCCAAGTTGTGAAATGGGTTTGTTGTTATATTGTCTTTAAAAATCTCTCGCAGGCCGGGCACGTTTTGATCGTCAATGTTTGCATTGCTTAGGCAACCTTGCACTTGCGTTTGGACATGTGCCAATGTTTCTTGTAGAATAGTTTTCGTGTTGGATACAATTCCAGCAACGGTGGACTTGGGTAGAGAGCATTCCTCTTGTAGTTTCAATATGTACAAAGCAGCCGACCTGGTAGGGTCCTCCATATTTTCAATCAATTGCTCGCCATTTTGGTTGATGAAGTTATCATGATCCATATTAACTATTGGACCATCATCTTGTGTTGGTAGCTCGGGATGCTTTTGTTGTAAATGCTTTCTCCATGAATAATATTTTCGGAATGTTCGGGTACAACCATCTACGCCACACAAGCAATGGAAGTTGGGGTCATTCCTGTGGCATCTTCCTATGTGGTTTAATAGTTGATTGCGATTTTCTGCAGAAAATACTCCACAAATGCTGCATTGCCAAGGCATAATTGGTCCGTTTTATAATAATAAGACGAAAAACCAACCTGGTCAGTGCCGAAATATATTAAATGTAGGAACTTGCACTTGGGTGCAAGAGGGGAAACTTTTAAAAAAAAGTCCCTTTTAAAACAGGGGAAAGTGTGGGATATGTAGGGCTTTCTAGTGTACGTTTTAATTCTTTCGCGCCAACCAGTCCATATAAGGTCAGAACCCTTCGTTTGTCCTTCATCGAGGACGCCCCTATCATTGTGCTGTCTTTTTTGCTGGTTTCCCGAGCGAAGTGCTTTGTCAACGATATTCACAACCAAAAAAGAATAATTTTAAAAGGTAATATACCGTAATATAGGTATATTTTGTGATAAATGTTATATAAACATTTACGTAATATATATTTTAGTTTGTTTATTTATGATAAAACATCTAGAATCTTTACTTACGTTTTTTTCACGTTGTTTTCCGCTCAGGTCTCGCACTTTTACTTTACTGAAAAAAGAAACTTTTTTGACCTGGCTAATATTGAAACTTCAGGTTTAAAGAACATTTCACTTTCCTATTTATCTGTGAATTGTATTTGCAACGTAGGATGGAAGAAGAATTGCGAGAAAAGCTTATATTTGGTGGCATCGAAGAAACTACACTCGCCATCTTAGAAAATCACAAGGTAATTGCATCCTTTGCAGGAGAGCCATTTTGTTTCTTTAAACTATAGGCTTTCCCGTCCTGCCTACAAGTACTTTATAAATATATTAATTTGCGAGTAATATTCAAACTACATTTTACCTATAATACATATCTTGACATTGCTAATACAAAAAATTGGATCTAGGCCTATATAAAATAAAGTCAGTCTTTTGACTTTCGTTTCCCGCTTCTGTACTCTAGCTAACTGATTGCCATGTCTTGAACGAAGTGGACATCAGTGTACTTTTTTTGTGCGGGGTAAAGGCAGGAGATGCTCTGACAGTTAAAAAGATATGCAAGGTGTACTTATCAACTAAAAACACTGAGGTATGAACTTCGGCTAAAAGTGGATGGGTTCAAGCAGAAATGCTGTTGGACGTTAGTTGAATTTTAACATGTCCGCCATTTTTGGCGGCGTGGCTTGCTCTGTTGTCCAAAAATTATAACTTCATATTTTGATCCTATTTGAAAATAGCTTTTCGTAGTGATTAGTGGGGCGAAGTTTATGTTTAAGAATTATGTAATAAAACAATGATTTGTGCTCTGAACTGTGATCTGTCCCTAAATTAAATACTTATTGTATCTATAAGCAAATGGTGGATATGTTCATATAGGGTGCAACCTGTGTCGCCGACCAGATGGACAATCGAACACAGACTGGAAAAGAGACACCTGGAGGGGTACGTAATGCTTTATAAGAGTTAAAGCGCTGTTCATGCATACTTTTAAGAGACTTAACACTGGCTCTCACCAGGCTCTCGCCTATACATGCTTTCTCAGTCAAAGCGAATCAGTAAAGCCCGTTTTCCACTCAAGCATTTCGCCTCCACTGGCGAAAACTTTCGCAAGCGGAAACTGTTATACTTTACTGTTCTTTCGCTGTAGTTAATTGTTCTTTCAACAGAAGTTGAGCATTTTAAACTACTGGGATAGCAAGAATAATTTCTCCAGCGGTGAATAAGTAGAAAAATATATTTACTTGTCCACTGCTTTTCGCTAGCGGCGGCGAAATGCTTGAGTGGAATAACGGGCTTAATTAAAGATCGCGGATTTGCTATTTGGCTTGTGTGGCCCCACTGCTGGGACAAATTGTATAAGCCCATCTCATGTACTAACACTCACTTCATTCCAAATACTGTATAGCCCCCCCCCCCAATATAGGCCCACTCGAATATAAGCCCCCTGAATATGAGTTCCCTAATATGAGCTTAAGTTATAATAGCCCACTACATTATTGCACTTTAAAGCATTAATGAACAGTAATTTTACAGAACGCAATGGACAACATGCAGACAACACATTGTCTTTTAGTTTTAGTTTTAATATAGCATGAAGCCTGGTTTCCATATGGACGTAAAACGTGTGGTAAGCGTGTCGTAACTGTCGTGGAGATAGACTGCAAGCCTATCTCTACGAAGTTACGACACGTTTACGACCATATGGAAACCAGGCTTAAGCGCGTTTTTAATACATGTTCGTTTTTCTCTTTATGACTGGCTTCATGTGGCTTGTTTATTGTACTAACACCAAAGTCGTCCATGTATAAGCTCCCCCGTACATAAGCCCCCCCCCCCTCTGTATAAGCCCATCGGCAAAAATCGATAACGAAAGTATATAAGCTCAGGGATTATAGTCGGAGGTTTACGGTATATCATAAATATTTAAGTATACCTTAAATATCTTTTTAAGGATGGATTAAACATATTTACTACAAGCATGGAGGTGGATGAAACAAAAACCAGTTCAGATACGCCTGTTACACCTAAAAGCACCTTGCGATCACCTTTCGTATATACAGAAAAAAAGAATAGAATGTTGTTTAAGGACTATAAACTTCTTGATAAGGTGCAGTATAGTCAGTAATTATCCCGTTCATTGCCCCAATACCACAGTATACAGGCGCTCTTGGGTATAAAAGTTTCAATGTTAATGTGAAAATAGCACTTATTTATTATTGTATCCTATTAAATTTATCTTTTTCGCCAGTTTTCCCCTGCTGTTACGAATGCGTTGGAGCATAACTGCCTGAGTCAAACGCAGAGGAGTGAATTTATAAGAGATATATGCACGGATATATCTTCAAGTGGTGTATACTTTTTGAATAAAGCAGAAAGAAATCAAGTAGCATTAGCAATCGTTACAAAATATCCCCATCTTAAAGATTCTATTGGCAGTGGCCTTGTAAGTATACGCCTACAACCACTAGATGAAAGTATGATCACTATTGCTTATTAACAAGTTGTTCGAGTCGTGGGTGAATAGCTAAGCCTTGATATAGCTAGCTAGGTTAGTCTTAAAAATACAGTAAGAAGAAAAGCCGAAACAACTGTCGCGCAATGAAGCCAAACAAATACATCAAATTAGACGGTAAAAATATTGCAGATGCTTTATAGTATTAAAGGGCATATGACGCCAAAATTTTTATTGTCGCATTTGCAAGAACTTTTAAAATTGTAACTTAACTTCTTTTACGCATTAAAATTTTTTTTGTTTCCGTTCTTCGTTTTGGAGTTATTTCGTTTTGTTGAATAAGCAAAGTACCCACTTGCTACGTCACATATGCATAATTAGTTAAACTAAAATGTTGCATGGTTTCAACCTTATAGCAACAGACATTGTTTTAAAAGAATGATATGCACAAGCTTTGTGTAAACTTCGCATATCCTTCTTTTTAAGTATTGTTAGTTAATAAGAGCGGTGATAATAAATGATTTTATGCTAACTAATTATGCATAAGTGACGTAGAAAGTGGGTACTTTGCATATTCAACAAAACGAAATATCTCCAAAACGGAAACAAAAATGTGTAAAAGAAGTTAAGTTACAATTTTAAAAGTTCTTGCAAATGCGACAATAAACAATTTAGCGCCATATGCCCTTTAATTTACATTGTAACCTTTTTTACAGGGTTCTTGGTCGGAATCAATTAAAAACAGATTTAAGCATGTACGAAAGTACGCAAGCAAAAAAAGAAAGAATTCAGCAATGAATGACGGTGATTCAGAAACACGAGACACTTCGGTACATGCATCCAATCCAAGTAAACCTAGAAAGATGGATTTCTGGAATATTATACCAAATCCTGTTGGCACAGAAAGCATTCAGAACGACCACCTTGCAGAGATGCAAAAGGAATGCCAAAAACCACGAATGGCTCAAGATAAGAACAAGATAAAAGAGCTGATGAATGTGACATATGACTTACGGAGGAAGGAAATATTAACGACCACCGTACCAGTTAAAGAAATAATCAAGAAATACCCTCCTCTTGCAAGTGTTAACGGGGTAATGCATATTATGGACCTGTTTTTTTGTAAAGATTTCGGCCAAAAAAGCAGTTTTCTACATAGCACCACCTTAAATTCGAATGGATTTTCAGTTTTTCTCTTGTGCTACGTATGGGAAGAGAAGCAGAACATCCTTCTAACACACATGCATGAATTTTTACCAATTAATGTGGAAAACGGCTGTAACGTGGCCAAATGGTCATGACCCACAAGCCTAGTTTTTGTGCTAAGCTACTTTCCATTAGAAGCTGCTCTTATTGGTCAAATGAAATATTTTTTCACTGGAATGTGTTAAAGAAGGATGTTCTAGTTTTATCTCTCCCTGGATCGTGAAAAAAACCTGCATGGTATTCCGTTAAGTTTCTTTTAAGGTGGACCTAGAAGTCAGTTTTTGGCTGCCATTTACCGATGAAATTATACACTATAGTAATGCACATGACATCTATTTGGCTGCCGTTATATTAAACTAGTTGTTACTTACAGTTTATTATTTCAAATCCAATTTTAGCTACGCTATGAGTTCTGCAGAATAATGGAAGATGACTGTGCCACCAAAGATATAAAAGAGAGATTTTCAAGCTACCGAGGTGCAATCATAAAGCACTGCGAAGGAATGCAAAAAAAAACTCCATTCGTGAAAAATATTTTAAGGAGCCTTAGAGAAGCCATCTCAGAGGATGCAGACAACATTGAAGGTATTTTGGAGTTAAAAGATCAATGCTTAGTTGCAGTATATTTGCAGTTTCATTGTGTAATATGTTTTGGTAATACACGAGTTAGTGGTAATATATTTCATAGAACCGCACTTATAATCTTAGTCTTTCAAATACATGGGAGCAGGGCCGTAACTAGACGCTTAATTGTGGCGGGGTGGGGGTGCATATTCATATATTCGGTTATGCACGGCGAGTTTCTTTTGTAAGCAATTGACTTGACAAAAGTAATCCGTCAGGCAGAACGGAATATATGAATATCTACCACCACCCCATCCCCGATTAATCATCTAGTTACTGCCATGCATGGGAGATATACATGTAGGACCTTTCAGACTTACCAGCAGATGACACGTTTGAAACGTTTCATGTGTCAGTACAATAATTTTCAAAAAATATACCTCATTTGAGCAAAAGGGCTAGGATTGGAGTTGCACGTGAAACCTCCAGGACCGTGGCTATAGTTATCGAAATGCCAACTTTTATGTTGTTAAATTTTATAGTCTTGGAGAGTACTTGTGCAGTCATGGTGCTGCCGAAATTGCTTGAGAAGAAACGAGTTCTTATTAACGAATTGATTACGATATTGTGTGTAAGTATACATTCATCTAATAACAGTACAGAGGAATATAGGAACCTGGGCGCATATTTGGGGAGGTAGTACCCCCCCCCCAATTATCGAGCTGGCCACTGAGTGTAATTTCATTTCTTCAGGAAGACGACAACTTGCATCAAGAGGTTCGAAACAGCACATTTCCCCGAATTATAGGTGTTGGGGAAAATATTTTAAAGCTGGATCGTAAGCTTCTGTGGATCGAAGGGGAAGAAATCGCAGATGTCAGTTCTTTCCCCTTGGATACCATCTTATTTTCTCTCCATGCGTGTTACTACGCATTTTCCATAGCCTACCCTCAAGATTACAAAGATCTATTCTTTTTCATTGATTCGGTTTTTCTTGGCCTGCAGCATACTGCAAGCAACAGAATTTCCTTACAGAAATTCTTGAAGGCATTAAACAGCCTTAAGTAAGCCGCCATGTTAGTATGTACTGCGTATTTTGTTTTGGTTTTTTGGACGATTTTTCAGCTTACTGTTTAAACTTAGTACTGTTTTACCTTAGTAGGCTACTGTTCTAACTTAATATACTGTTTTAACGTTGTACTGTTTTCCATTGTTATATATAAGTAATATTTAATGTTTGTTGTTAATATGTATATATTATTAAACCATGTAAAAAAATTTTGAATACGAGTTTAGGTATGTATTGGTCGATTGGGGTAATTTAATTTACCCCCTTACCAGGGGAACTATTTTTACCCCCACGACAGGGCCATATTTTAACCCAAACAACTGAGCAATATTTATACCCATAAATTTAGGGTAATTGTTTCAAGGATTCTACTCAAATTTATGGGGTAATTTTTTACCCCTTTTCGAATTACCCATATGAAATTTTACCCCAAAAAGTTTTACCCCTCCAAGTTCTACCCTCAAAAATCGGGGCGTTCTGTGGAAAACGATTCACCCTCTATTTTGGGGGTAATTTTTACCTCTTAAAATTTACAGTGTATCCACGCTTCGTGCAACGCGTTTTTATCCAATGGATAACTATCCACTGGATAGCAGATTTATCCGTTGGATAGGACTTATCCGTTGGATAAGTTATCCATCTTTAGAACAACCGGCCCCTGGAGCGAGGGGAATTCGATGAAATATTACCCCGAAGGGAAAATATATCCCGAGGGCTTCGCTTCCATATGAACGCAAATTCTCGATTTTTCCCGGTAAGCCGGTATTAAAACACGATCACACACGCTTGCCTGCAAAGGTAGGATAATAAGTGGGATAATAGGCGGTATGAATTGCATATGAGACGACCTTCAAACTCATCTCAGCAAGCCGAGCTCTCCTGGCTAACCGGGCTATCCCACCTCATATGAACAGGCCCTTAGTTCCTTTCGAAATTGATTATTTTTACGGTCTGCTAACATGAATGTATGAATATCAGCATCTCCACTTAACGATACTCCGCCGCAGCTTGTTTTATGCCGTGGGTCAAAATCAAACGTAAGCTATGGGAAGTTTTCAAAATTTCCTACTTCCGAACAACCCGTGTACCGGCGGTAGCAGTTTGGGTCTATGCTTGAAGCAAGAACAAATTGAAACGGAGGCTAGGTTTGATCGGATTCAATTTTTATTTTTCAAGGAACAAGCCCTTAAAATCGTTAGCTATCTTTAAGTTTTGATGTGAAAATTAATAATGATAGATTGATAGTCCTATCACGTGTTGTATCAATCAAAATAATTTGTGACTACACCCCCGGTTAAGCTTAACACGTGCGCCAGACTGATTCGTCATCTTCGTTGCCATGTTTTCGTGTTGAAAAAATATTTAATGGCTTGAAAATTGACTCTTGTATTCTATATTTTATCCTATGAATTAATGGGCTTAACGTACTCCTTGTGTATGAATATTAATGTCAAAGTAAGTATGTATTAAAATGTATTCAAACCGCATGATTTTGTGTTTGCCTAAGTCGCAATATACATTCCGGGGATATTTTCATTAAATTTTTACAGCAAAAACCCAGAAACAAACGTAATTGAACTGTCTCTTCTGACGGGATAGAAAACTCTACAAACATTCGAATCACCTCAAATATATTTTCATGCATGGATGCTGAGACCTACTGTACACACGTTGTTTACCCTGTCAATACCTGTTTGCATTTTGTCATCCAGGGCTGAAAGTGAAAGTTACTTTTCAAATAAACTGTTTGTATAAACTGCAATATACCCCATCTTTACTAGCTATAATGCTCAATATGCACACCGGTTCCTATTTAGGCATGCATATATAAACAATTTATAGTAATGCAGTATGCCAGATGAGTATACAGGTTATTGAACAAGGCAATAGAGGGTACCATGCAGAATTACTTAGACAGAATTCAATCACTTCTAACTGCCTACCAGAAAATGGCGATAAAAAGTGCTATACCTAACCATTAATTGGCTTAGTAACACCTCATAATTTTGTTATTCTATTTCTGGTACTATACAATGATCCAGGCTCGGAACATTAAAAATCATTTCTATGACAGGTAAAATTTGCCATTATATATATTTTGAATATTTTGAACAAAAAAAACCCTGATTCAACCCTGTAGTTTGTACGCTATTGAACCATCTAAGGGCTTGGTAGACTTTAGTGCTAATTAATGCCTAGCTGCAAACTATTGCAATTGCTGTTCTACATCTAGCAGATCTTTTTTATGGATTTTAAAGAGTTCCCTGAGTAACTTAATGCGTTAGAGGATGCCATGTAAATGTCTCTTAACACTGGCCTCTTTGACAGAGGATGAGTCTGAATTGCAAAAAAATATATGGTGCTTACAATAATCACTTATTGGTGAAAAACACAGCCTATTGTTGTTGTAATCTATGCTTTTCCTTTACTGCAACTTACTTTCAATTATCTGATCTGACATCTTTTCCATGCAAGTCAATGCCTTGATATTTGTCACCAGGAGTTTGTTGGTGTCTTCATTAGCTGTTGCTCTAAAACTACATTATAAATTTAAATACTAAAATGTTGCATGTATCTAGGCAATTATTAATTCTTTTTTAAATTCATTTTATGTACCATTTGCTATATGATGTACAAAACCTATTACATCACAAAATGTGGAATATATATACCCACCTCTGAGTTAAGTCCCATCCCTGTTCTAAGCCTTTTACTGCTAAACGGACAGTACGCTGAGAAATTAAATGTAATTGCATATAGGTTTATGGGTAGTTAATAAAGCTCTCTTCTTTAATCTATATAAATATTGATGTGCATAATAATTATGTCAATATTGTCTGAAATTGTTTTATTTTTAGGAAGTTTTACTTGAAATCCAAATGAAAATGATTATAAATCAATGAAATTGATGTAAGTATTCATCATCATGAAGATTATAATAGCATGCAATATAACAATAGAGTTGATGTTTGCTGGCATAAATGTGTTTTTGGCCCGACTCTGAACTTATTTTAGCCCGAGCGTAGCGAGGGTTAAACAGTATTCTGAGGAGGGCCAAAAACACATTTATGCCCAAGAACATCAACTGTATCAAAATTATATTAACTTTTTAAAGGGCGATCTTCTGATTGGCTAAGATCAAGGTGGGCTAAAATAGATTTTAGCCTGGCAAATTTATCATTTTAGCCCGCAAAGTACACCGCAATGCCCACCAAAGTTAATATAATAAAATATTAGCTACTACACTTCTTTACTAAAACTGTCTTGTATTATTTATATATATCTGACCATACATAATATTAATATTGTCTAAAATCTTTCATTATTTTATAGGGAGTTTGGATTGGAATCCCAGTGACAAGTATTAATTAATCACTGAAATTACTGTAAGTTTTCATCATCATTGAAATTTACAAGCATGCAATATTCCAGTGGCATGTATGGAGTTCTACCCCTGTTTAATCACCAGAATATTCACATTTAAATTATCATGCTGTTGACAATTTCTACTGTCATCCCTGACCCTGGGCAATTAATTTTCACCCTTTTAAAGGGAAAATCATAGGAAATGGACTAGACAAACTATAAACAGAATAAAATGAAAATCTGAAAAGGGAAATTTGCTTTATATCACTATACCCAATACTCAAGGTCAGCAGCAAACCATATCCTGCATGACATGCTCATGTTTGATTTCATTGTTGCATTGATTAATGATTTGGTTATATGCACCATTATTATTATATGTTGATACTGTAGTCCTTCCTTCCAATCCCTCCTCTTCTTACAAATTCAAGTTATCATACTGTACTACATTGCATTGTTTGCTTTGGGACACCATTGTTGTATACATTTAAGCATTTGCAAAAACTGTATTCTGTTGAAAAAGGCTTAGTGGATCGTAATACATACACAGTTTTTCTTCCCCATATAGAAATGATTGATTAAATTACTTTAATTCGCATTTACCTTTAAAATAAGGGGGATTTTCTCTCGGGTAGCAAGCTGTGCCCCGCGCTCTTTAGCTATATTCTGCTCTTGTTGATGTAATATTTTTTCATTTTGTTCAATGATTGTCCGTTGACTTGCCAAAATACGTCGCATGAGTTCCTCATTCTGACCATTGATTGCCATTTTTTTAAAAAACTGGTAGCTTTCGTTAAAAAATTAAATGTTAAGTGTATAAAAACTGGCTTGTCAAAACAACTTGAAAATTTTTCCTTCGAGTTTCCCTCTTGAATTCTAGATTTAGCGCGAAATAAATATGAGGCTTCTAATTGGTTGGTTTAGGTCACCTGGACACTTATAGTGTCCCTGAATAGCATCTACTACCCCCGTTTAGCCCTTTGTGTTTCTTTTAAACTCTTGTTTTTATATCAACATCGCTTATAAAAATCTAAAAACAATCATGGCTGAATACAACAACTATATGACCTTGTGTCCACATTGCGAGACCTATTTACCTGCAAGAACTTTCAGGCGACATAGAGAAGTTTATTTTGACCAAAATTCAAACTCGTGGCAAAGAGATCCAATTTTAGAAGGCAGTAGTGATGATGAAGACAACTTTATTGAGATCGACCAGGTCACTCCATGTTTCCCTCTTCCATCAAATCATTGCGATAGCAATTATACTGAACCTGACTCGGCTGATGAATTGTTCCGCGAAGAACTGCTTGAGCGTGAGATCTGGGATGATATTTCAGATAATGAAATCGACGAAGACACTAAAATTCCATCCGTTAGTGTCAATACGTCAGATTCTCCTTCCAACCGCACGTTGCTCAATTGTCTAGTTATTTTACTTGCGTTTTTTTGGACCTACTTTCCCATACCGGACAACGCAATGGAGTTTTTGCTTTTGTCGTTGAAACGATTCTTTCAAGCAGCATCTCTTTCCAACAATTGGCTTGCCACATTCTCCTTGGCTTTTCCTGGATCGCTGTACCTTTTTAGAAAAGAAGTAGGCCTGGTAGGTGACAAGTTTACTAAGTACGTTATTTGTCCAAAATTATAGACAATTGCGCATGCGTCAACCATGCAGCTCAACTCTGTTGAAAGAGGTAACTCTTAAAGATGGTGGTAAGCGATTATATCCTCATAAAATATATTGTTACCAGAGTGTTATTGCAACATTGCAACAGTTTGTTAGGCGAGCTGGTTTTACCCAGCGATGTGAGTTGTGGAGAAATCGTGATATTCGAACTGCTCATCAAGTTATGTGTGACGTATTTGAAGGACGAGTCTGGAGAGATTTTCAGATGTTCAATGGATCATCCTTTCTGGCATCTCCTCGTAATTATAGCTTTATGCTCAATGTTGATTGGATGCAACCATATGATCACACACCATATTCTGTCGGAGTTTTGTACCTTGTTTTGATGAACCTTCCGCGCAGTGAGCGCTTTAAACGACAAAATATTTTTCTCGTCGGAATCATTCCCGGACCTAGTGAGCCCCAGAATAACATTAACTCATACCTTAAACCACTCGTTGATGAGCTTGTTGTTCTTTGGGAGGAAGGCGTGACCCTACGACATTCTGGCTCACTTATTTTACCAGAACGCTTTCGAGCTGCTTTGTTGTGCGTAGCCTGTGATATGCCAGCCAGTAAGAAGGTTTGCGGGTTCACTGCTCACAACTCTAAACGTGGTTGCAATAAGTGCACCAAAGAGTTCGTTACTGGTGGATTCGGTGATGCAACTGATTATTCCGGATTCAATTCGAGTAGTGGAGAAATATTGTTGACCATAGGAGGCATGTTGAGGAGATTTTAGCGCAGTTGACGCAGGAATTGCGTAATGCGAAGGAGTCTCTATATGGCGCTAGATATTCCGAACTTCTCCGACTACCATACTTCGACTGCATTAGGTTTACTATTGTTGATCCGATGCATAATTTATTTCTGGGAACTGCGAAACGCATGATGGAATTGTGGTTGGAACTTTCTCTTTTGACACGTGCAGATTTGGAACTTATTCAACAGAAAGTAGACATATGTAATACACCTTCAAACATGGGTCGACTTCCGTTCAAAATAGCCAAGTCGTTTTCTGGATTTACGGCGGAACAGTGGAAAACCTGGGTAACTGTCTTCTCTCCGTTTGCATTGTTAGGTCATCTACCTGGTAAACATTACAAATGCTGGTTGAATTTTGTTAAAGCTTGTAAAATTCTGTCACGGCCAATGATTAAAATACATGACGTGCACTGTAAATTTTATGGGGTAAAAATTACCCCCAAAATAGAGGGTGAATCGTTTTCCACAGAACGCCCCGATTTTTGAGGGTAGAACTTGGAGGGGTAAAACCTTTTGGGGTAAAATTTCATGGGGGTGATTCGAAAAGGGGTAAAAAATTACCCCATAAATTTGAGTAGAATCCTTGAAACAATTACCCTAAATTTATGGGTATAAATATTGCTCAGTTGTTTGGGTTAAAATATGGCCCTGTCGTGGGGGTAAAAATAGTTCCCCTGGTAAGGGGGTAAATTAAATTACCCCAATCGACCAATACATACCTAAACTCGTATTCAAAATTTTTTTACATGGTTTAATAATATACATATTAACAATAAACATTAAATATTACTTATATTTAACAATGGAAAACAGTACAACGTTAAAACAGTATATTAAGTTAGAACAGTAGCCTACTAAGGTAAAACAGTACTAAGTTTAAACAGTAAGCTGAAAAATCGTCCAAAAAACCGAAACAAAATACGCAGTACATACTAACATGGCGGCTTACTTAAGGCTGTTTAATGCCTTCAAGAATTTCTGTAAGGAAATTCTGTTGCTTGCAGTATGCTGCAGGCCAAGAAAAACCGAATCAATGAAAAAGAATAGATCTTTGTAATCTTGAGGGTAGGCTATGGAAAATGCGTAGTAACACGCATGGAGAGAAAATAAGATGGTATCCAAGGGGAAAGAACTGACATCTGCGATTTCTTCCCCTTCAATGCACAGAAGCTTACGATCCAGCTTTAAAATATTTTCCCCAACACCTATAATTCGGGGAAATGTGCTGTTTCGAACCTCTTGATGCAAGTTGTCGTCTTCCTGAAGAAATTAAAATTACACTCAGTGGCCAGCTCGATAATTGGGGAGGGGTACTACCTCCCCCAATATGCGCCCAGGTTCCTATATTCCTCTGTACTGTTATTAGATGAATGTATACTTACACACAATATCGTAATCAATTCGTTAATAAGAACTCGTTTCTTCTCAAGCAATTTCGGCAGCACCATGACTGCGCAAGTACTCTCCAAGACTATAAAATTTAACAACATAAAAGTTGGCATTTCGATAACTATCGGTCCTGGAGGTTTCACGTGCAACTCCAATCCTAGCCCTTTTGCTCAAATGAGGTATATTTTTTGAAAATTATTGTACTGACACATGAAACGTTTCAAACGTGTCATCTGCTGGTAAGTCTGAAAGGTCCGTACATGTATATCTCCCATGCATGGCAGTAACTGGATAATTAATCGGGGGTGGGGGGTGGTGTGGTGGTAGATATTCATATATTCCGTTCTGCCTGACGGATTACTTTTGTCAAGTCAATTGCTTACAAAAGAAATTCGCCGTGCATAACCGAATATATGAATATGCACCCCCACCCCGCCACAATTAAGCGTCTAGTTACGGCCCTGCTCCCATGTATTTGAAAGACTAAGATTAAGTGCGGTTCTATGAAATATATTACCACTAACTCGTGTATTACCAAAACATATTACACAATGAAACTGCAAATATACTGCAACTAAGCATTGATCTTTTAACTCTAAAATACCTTCAATGTTGTCTGCATCCTCTGAGATGGCTTCTCTAAGGCTCCTTAAAATATTTTTCACGAACGGAGTTTTTTTTTGCATTCCTTCGCAGTACTTTATGATTGCACCTCGGTAGCTTAAAAATCTCTCTTTTATATCTTTGGTGGCACAGTCATCTTCCATTATTCTGCAGAACTCATGGCGTAGCTAAAATTGGATTTGAAATAATAAACTGTAAGTAACAACTAGTTTAATATAACGGCAGCCAAATAGATGTCATGTGCATTACTATAGTGTATAATTTCATCGGTAAATGGCAGCCAAAAACTGACTTCTAGGTCAACCTTAAAAAAAACTTAACGGAATACCATGCAGGTTTTTTTCACGATCCAGGGAGAGATAAAACTAGAACATCCTTCTTTAACACATTCCAGTGAAAAAATATTTCATTTGACCAATAAGAGCAGCTTTTAATGGAAAGTAGCTTAACACAAAAACTAGGCTTGTGGGTCATGACTATTTGGCCACGTTACAGCCGTTTTCCACATTAATTGGTAAAAATTCATGCATGTGTGTTAGAAGGATGTTCTGCTTCTCTTCCCATACGTAGCACAAGAGAAAAACTGAAAATCCATTCGAATTTAAGGTGGTGCTATGTAGAAAACTGCTTTTTTGGCCGAAATCTTTACAAAAAAACAGGTCCATAATATGCATTACCCCGTTAACACTTGCAAGAGGAGGGTATTTCTTGATTATTTCTTTAACTGGTACGGTGGTCGTTAATATTTCCTTCCTCCGTAAGTCATATGTCACATTCATCAGCTCTTTTATCTTGTTCTTATCTTGAGCCATTCGTGGTTTTTGGCATTCCTTTTGCATCTCTGCAAGGTGGTCGTTCTGAATGCTTTCTGTGCCAACAGGATTTGGTATAATATTCCAGAAATCCATCTTTCTAGGTTTACTTGGATTGGATGCATGTACCGAAGAGTCTCGTGTTTCTGAATCACCGTCATTCATTGCTGAATTCTTTCTTTTTTTGCTTGCGTACTTTCGTACATGCTTAAATCTGTTTTTAATTGATTCCGACCAAGAACCCTGTAAAAAATGTTACAATGTAAATTAAAGGGCATATGGCGCTAAATTGTTTATTGTCGCATTTGCAAGAACTTTTAAAATTGTAACTTAACTTCTTTTACACATTTTTGTTTCCGTTTTGGAGATATTTCGTTTTGTTGAATATGCAAAGTACCCACTTTCTACGTCACTTATGCATAATTAGTTAGCATAAAAACGTTTATTATCACCGCTCTTATTAACCAACAATACTTAAAAAGAAGGATATGCGAAGTTTACACAAAGCTTGTGCATATCATTCTTTTAAAACAATCTCTGTTGCTATAAGGTTGAAACCATGCAACATTTTAGTTTAACTAATTATGCATATGTGACGTAGCAAGTGGGTACTTTGCTTATTCAACAAAACGAAATAACTCCAAAACGAAGAAGTTAAGTTACAATTTTAAAAGTTCTTGCAAATGCGACAATAAAAATTTTGGCGTCATATGCCCTTTAATACTATAAAGCATCTGCAATATTTTTACCGTCTAATTTGATGTATTTGTTTGCGACAGTTGTTTCGGCTTTTCTTCTTACTGTATTTTTAAGACTAACCTAGCTAGCTATATCAAGGCTTAGCTATTCACCCACGACTCGAACAACTTGTTAATAAGCAATAGTGATCATACTTTCATCTAGTGGTTGTAGGCGTATACTTACAAGGCCACTGCCAATAGAATCTTTAAGATGGGGATATTTTGTAACGATTGCTAATGCTACTTGATTTCTTTCTGCTTTATTCAAAAAGTATACACCACTTGAAGATATATCCGTGCATATATCTCTTATAAATTCACTCCTCTGCGTTTGACTCAGGCAGTTATGCTCCAACGCATTCGTAACAGCAGGGGAAAACTGGCGAAAAAGATAAATTTAATAGGATACAATAATAAATAAGTGCTATTTTCACATTAACATTGAAACTTTTATACCCAAGAGCGCCTGTATACTGTGGTATTGGGGGGCAATGAACGGGATAATTACTGACTATACTGCACCTTATCAAGAAGTTTATAGTCCTTAAACAACATTCTATTCTTTTTTTCTGTATATACGAAAGGTGATCGCAAGGTGCTTTTAGGTGTAACAGGCGTATCTGAACTGGTTTTTGTTTCATCCACCTCCATGCTTGTAGTAAATATGTTTAATCCATCCTTAAAAAGATATTTAATGTATACTTAAATATTTATGATATACCGTAAACCTCCGACTATAAGCCCTGATTTTATATACTTTCGTTATCGATTTTTGCCGATGGGCTTATACAGGGGGGGGGCTTATGTACGGGGGAGCTTATACATGGACGACTTTGGTGTTAGTACAATAAACAAGCCACATGAAGCCAGTCATAAAGAGAAAAACGAACATGTATTAAAAACGCGCTTAAGCCTGGTTTCCATATGGTCGTAAACGTGTCGTAACTTCGTAGAGATAGGCTTGCAGTCTATCTCCACGACAATTACGACACGCTTACCACACGTTTTACGTCCATATGGAAACCAGGCTTCATGCTATATTAAAACTAAAACTAAAAGACAATGTGTTGTCTGTTGTCCATTGCGTTCTGTAAAATTACTGTTCATTAATGCTTTAAAGTGCAATAATGTAGTGGGCTACTATAACTTAAGCTCATATTAGGGAACTCATATTCAGGGGGCTTATATTCGGGTGGGCCTATATTGGGGGGGGGGCTATACAGTATTTGGAATGAAGTGAGTGTTAGTACATGAGGTGGGCTTATACAATTTGTCCCAGCAGTGGGGCCACACAAGCCAAATAGCAAATCCGCGATCTTTAATTAAGCCCGTTTTCCACTCAAGCATTTCGCCGCCGCTAGCGAAAAGCAGTGGACAAATAAATATATTTTTCTACTTATTCACCGCTGGAGAAATTATTCTTGCTATCCCAGTAGTTGAAAATGCTCAACTTCTGTTGAAAGAACAATTAACTACAGCGAAAGAACAGCTAAGTATAACAGTTTCCGCTTGCGAAAGTTTTCGCCAGTGGAGGCGAAATGCTTGAGTGGAAAACGGGCTTTACTGATTCGCTTTGACTGAGAAAGCATGTATAGGCGAGAGCCTGGTGAGAGCCAGTGTTAAGTCTCTTAAAAGTATGCATGAACAGCGCTTTAACTCTTATAAAGTATTACGTACCCCTGCAGGTGTCTCTTTTCCAGTCTGTGTTCGATTGTCCATCTGGTCGGCGACACAGGTTGCACCCTATATGAACATATCCACCATTTGCTTATAGATACAATAAGTATTTAATTTAGGGACAGATCACAGTGCAAAAATTGCCGAAGAGTAAACCCTAGGGGAGCTAAACTAGTTTTTCAAAAAATCTCGAGTGCGACGTTGCCCAACTCCGAAGTCTGGACTTGCAGCCGCTGCTTATATCAAGAAGGGCTGAGACATTTGTATATATCGCTGTTTTATTGGGTGAGCCAGACAAGACGCTATCAAAACATTTCAGGGATTATTAGTGAATCTCATTTTTGTCATGGGGTTTGGCTCCTCACTTGAGATATCGTTTCTGGTCTCTCTTAGACATTCCTGTCAATATTGTTAATTAAAGGATAATTAGTATTTATAACATCACATGCTTGTATAGATGTTATGTTTTTCATAAAGGTGGCTGTCCCAAAACTGTTTTCTACTTCGAGCCACCTTAAATTGAATCGATTTCTAGGATTTTTCTGACAGGCTATGGGAAGAGAGGCAGAACGTCCTACTTCAAAATATGCGTGAAAAATTCTTTAATTATGACCGACAAAGCTATATCCTAAGTGAAAATAAGCTTAGCATGAAAACGAGGCATGACCCACGAGCCTTGCTTTCATGTTCAAGCTTTTTCACGTACGTGTTGAAGAAAGATGTTCTGCTTCTCTTCCTATTGCCTGTCAGAAAAAAAACTGGAAATCGATCCAATTTTGGTTCGATATGGAGTTTTTGCCGGCATACCTGAAAATTAAATAGTGAGTTCAGAGCACAAATCATTGTTTTATTACATAATTCTTAAACATAAACTTCGCCCCACTAATCACTATGAAAAGCTATTTTCAAATAGGATCAAAATATGAAGTTATTATTTTTGGACAACAGAGCAAGCCACGCCGCCAAAAATGGCGGACATGTTAAAATTCAACTAACGTCCAACAGCATTTCTGCTTGAACCCATCCACTTTTAGCCGTAGTTCATACCTCAGTGTTTTTAGTTGATAAGTACACCTTGCATATCTTTTTAACTGTCAGAGCATCTCCTGCCTTTACCCCGCACAAAAAAAGTACACTGATGTCCACTTCGTTCAAGACATGGCAATCAGTTATCTAGAGTACAGAAGCGGGAAACGAAAGTCAAAAGACTGACTTTATTTTATATAGGCCTAGATCCAATTTTTTGTATTAGCAATGTCAAGATATGTATTATAGGTAAAATGTAGTTTGAATATTACTCGCAAATTAATATATTTATAAAGTACTTGTAGGCAGGACGGGAAAGCCTATAGTTTAAAGAAACAAAATGGCTCTCCTGCAAAGGATGCAATTACCTTGTGATTTTCTAAGATGGCGAGTGTAGTTTCTTCGATGCCACCAAATATAAGCTTTTCTCGCAATTCTTCTTCCATCCTACGTCGCAAATACAATTCACAGATAAATAGGAAAGTGAAATGTTCTTTAAACCTGAAGTTTCAATATTAGCTAGGTCAAAAAAGTTTCTTTTTTCAGTAAAGTAAAAGTGCGAGACCTGAGCGAAAAACAACGTGAAAAAAACGTAAGTAAAGATTCTAGATGTTTTATCATAAATAAACAAACTAAAATATATATTACGTAAATGTTTATATAACATTTATCACAAAATATACCTATATTACGGTATATTACCTTTTAAAATTATTCTTTTTTGGTTGTGAATATCGTTGACAAAGCACTTCGCTCGGGAAACCAGCAAAAAAGACAGCACAATAATAGGGGCGTCCTCGATGAAGGACAAACGAAGGGTTCTGACCTTATATGGACTGGTTGGCGCGAAAGAATTAAAACGTACACTAGAAAGCCCTACGTATCCCACACTTTCCCCTGTTTTAAAAGGGACTTAAGGGAGTTTCCCCTCTTGCACCCAAGTCCAAGTTCCTACATTTAATATATTTCGGCACAGCACTGACCAGGTTGGTTTTTCGTCCTTTTAAACGGACCAATTATGCCTTGGCAATGCAGCATTTGTGGAGTATTTTCTGCAGAAAATCGCAATCAACTATTAAACCACATAGGAAGATGCCACAGGAATGACCCCAACTTCCATTGCTTGTGTGGCGTAGATGGTTGTACCCGAACATTCCGAAAATATTATTCATGGAGAAAGCATTTACAACAAAAGCACCCCGAGCTACCAACACAAGATGATGGTCCAATAGTTAATATGGATCATGATAACTTCATCAACCAAAATGGCGAGCAATTGATTGAAAATATGGAGGACCCTACCAGGTCGGCTGCTTTGTACATATTGAAACTACAAGAGGAATGCTCTCTACCCAAGTCCACCGTTGCTGGAATTGTATCCAACACGAAAACTATTCTACAAGAAACATTGGCACATGTCCAAACGCAAGTGCAAGGTTGCCTAAGCAATGCAAACATTGACGATCAAAACGTGCCCGGCCTGCGAGAGATTTTTAAAGACAATATAACAACAAACCCATTTCACAACTTGGAAACCGAAGCACAACAATTTGCCTACTACAAAGCTCATTTTGGATTAAAGGTAGCTAGTTTTTTAATTGCTTTGCCAATAGTCATACTTATCATATTACAAAAATTAGGACTGTTTATATAAAGTATGGAGGTGACAGTCACACCTTTAAGACTTTAACATCCCCCAAACTACTGTATAATGTGTATATAGCTAATTAATATTTTATAATTTTATTGATAGGAACCACAAAGAATTGTTCTGGGGCGTAGAGAAGTTTTTAAAAGAAGGAAAGGTATAATGCAGCAAACCCAAGTCAATGATGAAGCATATTACATCCCACTCTTGGACAGCCTTCAACAGCTTCTTAATGATGAGTTTATTCTTGAAGAGGTATATTGAACACAATTACAATTTTACATAAATTGTTAACGTGATTGAAAAAAGCTGGTCAGCTAAATATTTGCCCATCTTTCTCACTGGGTATATCTTAATATGGCAGCTGCATAGTTCTTTTTAGAAACAATATACTTATAGTTTATTACAGAGTAGGCTCCTTTTCATAGGAGAAAGCAAAATCAGGGATGTGCTGACTGGGGCTAACATAGGTTGCAGATTTCTTTGAAAAAGGGGGTTCCATTAAGGCTATATGATGATTCAATGAGTTTTCCACATATAAACAGAATATCGATGTTCAATGTGCATGCTATTAATTTCAAAAAATTGTTTTAGCATTTATGAAATACTTATGTGAAACAAAAGTAGTTCCACCAATACTGAACTGGAATATTTTCTGTTGATCATGTGGTAATGGTCTCAATTAAAAGTATTTGACAGTGCCGCATGTTTGGCATGAAACCTACTCAAAGTTTAATATTGAAGGAAATCAAACTATACATTGTGGACTTAAGCTTGACCTAAGTAATCTAAGAGAGCCACACATAAAGTAACCTATAGGTTTTATAATTTTTTATTCATAATTATTTTTAGATTAAAAATCCTCATGTGAGCATTGATGGGCTCATGAGAGACTACTGTGATGGCTATCAATTCAAAATGCATCCTCTCTTTTCGGTAAAACCCACAGCTCTACAGATCATGCTATATTACGATGATCTGGAAACATGTAATCCACTTGGATCAAGAGCAACCATACATAAAGTTGGTAAATATTTAATATATGCATTTAACTTGCTAGTAACAGGTTGTAGGCCTAGTGCCTTATTTTTTATGAGGGGAAAACTAAATCTATATTTGCTTAATCTGTGTGAAATTTGGGCAATTTCTAAATCAAGGAGTCTCCCATTGTTATGAGCAGAACCGATGCGCAGATCAGACTGTAGATTACCTTTAACATATTGTCTATTTGAGCAGAACTATATTTCATAGATATTAAATATTTAACATTCCCCCATTTTAATACCCACAAATTCATTTAAGCCCCCCCCCCCCCAACAACTGTGTCTCAAGCAAGTGTAATTATTATTAATATAATTATTGTGTACTACAAAGGAATTCAAAGAGTTAATTCATTAAAACATACTTTCGATTTATAGGAGCATTCTACTACACGTTGGGTAATATCAATCCCTTAAATCGTTCATCAATGAAGGCTATTCAGCTTCTCTGTTTGTGTAAAACATCAAATATCAAACAGTATGGTATCAATGCAGTCCTTGGGCCATTCATGGCAGATTTGAAGAAGCTAGAACAGGTAATTACATTATTTCAAAAAAGAACAGATCATCATTGATTACATGTTTATTTGACAAATGAGATCTATGAACTGGGACAAATTTACTTGAACAATTAACAATACAAAATGAGCACAGAGCACCTTTGTCAGTCCTTCAGAAAACACATTTATATCCCCTCATACAATGTTGATGGTAGTTGAGCAGTTGCACACTTTTGTAACAATTGTATTAACAACATTGTAACAAGTGTGTGTGTGTGGGGGATAGTTCACCATTAAACCAATGTGTAGTCCCAACCAAACTGCTGGCAGTTTGTAAAAAATGTAACTAAATTGAATACTAGCTAATAAGCAAACCCTGTATTGTACATTTTTTCATTTTTTGTGCTAATTATCCCAAATATTACAGCCATAACTCTGAAGTAGACAGTGATGTTTACAACTTTTCTTTTGCTTCCTTCAAGGACACAGGTCATCCCTTCACTGTCCAGGGAACAGAACAGAACTTCTGTGGATCCATAGTGTACACATCCGCTGATAATCTTGGAGCCCAACAGTTGGGAGGATTCAAAGAGAGTTGCAGCGCACACAGACCGTGTCGTTACTGCCTTGCTACTGCTGAGGAAATGAAATCTAAGGTAGACAACATGTAATAATCATCAACTAATACCGATACTGTACTTTAACAAAGATTTCAAACCAGACATTAACAGTATATGATAAAGAACATCATTAACAGTTACACTGTAACATGCACATTGTAATCTGTGCAAATATTATACTGTACTCTAGATCGAGTTATTCGTCCTGATCAGCTAATGTACATGAATGGTTCATATAACTCTGCATAACCTCATTAGAGATTTACTGTAGATTAAAAATTTCATGGATTTCTCAACCTCAGACTTTTTAAAGCAAGAACATGAATAAAAAGTGCCAATTTATAGCCTGTGCTTTCCAAAATTAAAATATTTTTTGATATTATTCATCCCTCAATCACTTTGTTAAAAACATTTGTTTGGACGTTTCGACCTCGATTCGTACATGTTCCATGCAATACGGTATATTAATAGTCAAAAAATCTGGAAAAAGAACCAAGTAGAGCAAGGTATAATCCATAGTAATAACAATTTATTTTCAGTTTCATGAAAAAGACTTTGTTCTCCGAACAAAGGAAGACTACAAAGACCAAATTAACCAAGTTGAAACATATGGCGAGCACTTTAGCAAAACATATGGACTCAACCGAAGATCCATCCTTAACGAGAGTGACTATTATCATGTCATTGGAGGTTTGCCACCAGACATAATGCATGATATTTTAGAAGGGGTTCTACAGTATGAAACAAAAGAGATGCTGAAACTACATCAAAGTGGAACGTTACCTTACCTTGGAAATCTTGAATGACCGAATTGCCAAATACGACTTTGGATATTACAATGATAGTAATAGGCCATCACCAATAACAGAACAAAAGTTATCGTCAAATGACAACAACCTGAAACAACATGGTAAGTTTAAATCATGAGACATACAAACTTTTCTCGCACTCTCTAAAGTAAAGTAAAGTAATTAGAAATCATTATCACTCTACAGCTGTACAGATGTGGTGCTTGGCAACACATCTACCCTTGCTCATGGGAGATTTGATTCCATTCGAAGATGACCGGTGGATTCTTTTCCTGAAGTTATTGGAAATCACTTCTCTTTGTTTTGCCCCTGCAGTATCAAATGATCAAATAGCCTATCTGCAGGTCCTCATTGGTGACCATCATAATGAATTCAAAAGGCTTTATCCAGAATGCAGCATCATACCAAAGATGCATTTTATGGTCCACATGCCATCTTATATCAGCAGGTACTGTACATTAGACTGTGGGATTGTCATATTCATAATCATATTCATAAACCAGCAGAACACCCATGAATGATGCATACATGTATGGATTATTCTCTTTATCAAACTTTTAGATTGGGCCCTCTTGTTCGTGCTTGGTGCATGCGCTTTGAAGCGAAACACCATTACTTTAAAAAGTTGTCAACAGTCATTGGAAATTATACCAATTTACCATACACTTTGACAATGCGCCACCAGCAATGGATTTGTTATAAATTGCAATCTGACAATCATGAATCTGGGTTTCTTGAAAAAGGCATGGAAGTTGGACCAGGTACTTTATAGTGTCACAAGTAACTATTGAAAAATAAAGATACAGTCAATTAAATGTATTTAAAAACACTAACTGAGTCAAAATGCTACCGTACATTTAGCGTTTCGTACTGTCAGCATTTCTGACTATACAAGTTTTACCATTAATAGACCTTTCCATTATGATAATTCATTGCATTATTACTGTACCAAGGCCAGAAGGCTATGCAAGCATTATGCAATTAAGCCGGCCTGCTGGCAAAGCATGCTAGTTTTAGTAAAATACGCTATGTAATGTCATAATGGCAAGGTCGGGCAATAGGCACCTATTATGATTTTATTCATACTGTCTAACCCCGAACAAGTGGAACAGTTACTGTAACTGGCAGTGAAGACAGTAGGTTAAATATATACATACAAAAATAATAGTATGTGCATGTACTCTACTTATTTGCATTTATTAACATGTAGGTTCATCATTTCATGCTGGGGATCTTCAATATTATAACTCACTAAAAGAGAAGGAGAATTTAATAGACCAAACTACCAACATAACCAAGTAAGTTTAAATTCATATGGCCTGTATTGGCTGTGTATACAGTATTCACTTCAACCGGGCATATAGGGAGCAGCAGTACTGTATATTGCAGAGTGCATAATTCTCATGATCAAATCCCAACTGCAAGATCGAGGAAGATCTACCTAATACTGTATACAGAGTATTTATTTACATGTAACTTACTACAGGTATATAGTTTTCTCATAGTGGTTGCTGCTAGGTTGATATTAATACTTTGAAATTGTATTGAATCACCTGTTTTAAACCATGAACTTTCCATGTGCCGAATGGATTAGAAACAGTAAGTACAGAGGGTAATGAGATATTTCAGCTGTTAACCTATTGTTATTAATGCACTCAGCAGATGAATAGTTTGAAATTTGAAACAGACCTATATAAATAATTATTAAATTATTATACTTACAATCTCTTGTTGTTGTTTAGTAGTTATGAAATAATATCTGCTCAATTCTTTTAGGCCAAAATGGATTTCAATTAATGGAATAAAATATAAAGTTGGGTGTGTGTTATGCATCGGTCATGACGAAGAAGAAAGTCCTTGTTTTGTAACGCTAAAAGAGATATGTGTAGTTGAAAAACATTTGGAAAAAACTTGGATGATTACTGAAGCCCTACACACAGATTTGTGAGTCATTATAATGCATATGAAGTAACCAACACACCAGAGTTGATGATAGTGAAATTGCACCAGCTCCCATATCCTTTCCCATTACATTTGATTACTATTACCACTCAAGAGCAGGTCAAAACAGTTGTGTGCCCAAAGCATGAAATACCAGTTATATAAAAAACCTAGCAGTATATACATACTGTATATGTACTGTAAATTATCAGAGGAGATGGTGGATGCAACACAGTATTGGATTCTATTCTCATATGAAACACATGACTTCACACTTAGTTATTGATCAATATCTTAAGTCAACATTGTAGTTATACAGTGCAGTATTAATGTAATTGTTAGATGCATGTTATTGCCAGATATTGTAGTTCCAATATTATATACATTATAGACTACAGTGCATAATTTTCTCATCTCAATTATGCAATTATGGTGTATACATTACATCTACTGTATCATACTTTTGTATCCAATTTAACTGCATGCCATGCACTCATTAGTCATTGCAAATTACCATTTAACAATTATTTATTGAGTAAATAAGTGTTTTGTTATATAGCAAGCGCCAAAAATTAACTTACCAAAGCAAATGAAAAATGTTAATATTATTTGCTTTGAACCAAGCAGACATCTTTGAAAAACTATTGAATGGGCTTTGAACTTCTCAGTTGACGAGCATGTTCACTACCCCCCTTTGTTATTGACCAGTCAATAATTTTTCCATTTTGGACCGGTTGGTAAACATGACGTTTTGTGGACTAGCACGTGATATGGTATTGACCAATTAGCAAACAGAAAAATTTAACTTTGACACTGACTATATAACAATATGTATTTATAGAAAACTTGGTTTGCAATGTTGGATTATATGTAGTTGATATTCAGTGACCTGTAGTGTTTAGCTATACTGTAATACTGTATGTATTGTAGATTGTTTCATTTGTTTGAAAATTTGCTGGGCATATAGGACAAGAGGATCATATATATTATATCAGTATATAATTTTGGCCTTTATAGGGCTTAGAAATATTAAAAATGACAAGTCCAGTGGAAGCCAAATTGTCTATGTCCACTCCTGGAGAGAGCTGATTCTTTCATGTACAGATTACTGTACAGCTTAGAGCTGGCTTGGTAAGGCCATCACTTGGCCACTTTCAGGGCACATGTATTTATACATCGTGTAAGAAACAGTAGAGCACATGAGTAACGAGTTGACACCCCCAAGTATAATATACAATAGTATATCTCAAAAGTACTTATGTCAACAAAAATACTTTTAAAAAAACTTTAGAATTACTCACATATTTTTTATCAAAATCCCAGAGGCTTGATGATATCACGAATTCAATTCACGATGGCATGAAATATTGAAATCTCATTCGGATTCCCATGTTCCGACTTCCGAATGTTCATACAGTACTAGATAATTTAAAAATCTGCTCATTTAACAATACCGTATCAATCCACACACCAAGTGGCATTTGTATTATGAGAACAAAAAAAGCTCACATTTGTTATGTATCCACCTAATTTAGTCAAAACCAATGGTCAAAACTCAAAATGACAAAATCCACCATCCGCCATTTTGCTGCCGCTCGACATCGCATTCCCCCACCCGCATGAGGTAAATTTCGCAACTACCCCTCCTGCAGTGGTAGGCCGGCCTGGTTCAGCCCTAAACAGCCTTCGCCAAAATATATCGATCTTTCAGAAATTCATAAGTTCAGAACAGCATATTGTCTTGAGACCGTTTTAGCATCCTTATGTGTACAAAATTTGCAATCAGTAAGCAGTTCGTTTAATTATTTAAACCGTCAGCCCATACCCATACCGAGAACAACACAGTGAATTTTAATTTAATATATGACGATTGACTGGTCGTTCAGTGAAGTTTGTAGCGTGCGTGAGAACTTCATTTTTGTCTCTTTCGTTCCTTAGCCGGCAAAAAATTTTAGTTTCTGATACTTTGTAAATGTAATTATTGCCATCATAGTAGATATATAATTAAATAAATGCTTTCCCACTCCTTTTGTCAAAATACGCCATTTTGAAAATATTTCTTCGCAACTTCTGTTACCCAACACGTATTAGGTAATTTCTACCCCCAAAAGAATTTTTTACCCCCAAAAAGGGTAAAGGTAACTTTTCGACTTTCTACCTCATATTTGAGGGGGAAAGAAAAGCGAATTACCCCAGATCTTGGAGTAATATGTTGCCTTTAGTCAATTACCTCCTTGAGAATGGTACAAATTACCCCAAACAAGGGTAATTTTTACCCCTTAAAATTTACAGTGTGGGTCTTGCGCATTCTCTGCTTGTAAAGTTCTGTCGTGATGTCGAAAAGTTATATGGAACACAACGCATTACACCGAATATGCATATGCATACACATTTGGGCGATTGTATTCTTGACTATGGACCAGTGTATAGTTTTTGGTTGTTCAGCTTTGAACGGTACAATGGCATACTAGGTAACTATTCGAACAATAATAAGTCAATTGAATTGCAAATTATGAGAAAGTTTTTGAGAGATCAGAACTTGAGAGAACTTGAATTCCCAAAAGAATGTGTGCAGCATTTTAGCGATTTGACTGATAAACTACAACAGCGCGAAGGCCATCAATCTTGTAGCGAAGTAGTTGATAGCAAGCTTGCAATTGATATTCTTCATTTGTGTGATGGTAGGCTTGACATTCGTGATGAGTTATGGTTTACTCTGGATGGTTACTCCCTTGGTTTACCTCACGTTATTGAACAGTTAGATTGTGATGAGCACGAGTACCTGAGTGCTGTTTACAAAATATTTCTTCCTGACATACCAGTCGACAACATTCCTTACCTCTACGACAAATACGCGTCGATCGAATTTTCAGGGAACGATACGGGTCAGAGTTTTCCCGTCTAAGTCGTTTTGCTTACATTTTAGCAAGGTGGGCAGGACGATTCCATGGAGGTGTGGATATGGAAGGTGTAGAGGAAAGACCGGGCATTATCGATTGTTTCGTACGCCAGTCGATTTCGTATCGGGATAAGGTACATTCGTTTTGTTTTGCGCACGTTCGCTGGTTTCAACGGCACCCTGAACGATTTCATTATGGTAATGATGGAGTTACGCCCGAGATTTGGTGCTCAAACTTGTTCGAGAGTTTTGGTCCGGCGTCCTTTATACCCGTTCAACGCATAGCGCGAAATTTAATACCCGGTTATGATAAAGTTGATGACGAAACCGTCTTGTTTGTTATGCCATTGGAAAGGCGAATTCTTCTGTGATTCAGATGGAATTTGGAGGCTAACTAGTTTAAGTCTGACTATAGCACATTCAAATCAATGCCCTTGATCATGGTTCTTCGTAGTGCTTTAAAGTTCGTAATACCGTGCTGACAGAACTGTGACGTATTTAATACCCAGAAATGGGGGCAGATCAGGGTTAAAGTAACACATAATTAACGGCGTTAAGTGGTTTAATACATGAATGCATCCATGCATGCACGCTATATAACCATATGCCCTAGATTATAACCGCTATTTGTATTATCGCGTTATTAATTCGTGTAAGCCCTAATGGATACTGAACAATATTAATTTATAGGTTCCTTGAAAGCTTGCATGTTGAAAACAGTATTTTATCGTACGTTTGTGGAAATACCGCGTGAAAAATTTAATTTTGCAATCCTCTGGGGCCGGTTGTATAACTGCATGTACTGTAGTTAACGACAGAATTGGCCAATCAGAGTCGTGTATTGCTCATTTAACTATGCAAAATGTACTTAAAGAGTTTTATACATCTGGAGCCGGTTGTATAAAGCTCTTAACTACATTTTGCATAGTTAAATCGTAGTTAACTCAGAAATACATGACTCTGATTGGTCAATTCTGTTACTAACTATGATTAAGAGTTTACTACATTTTTATACAACCGACCCCTGGTCCCTGATCTGCAAAATTATATTCACGCATATTTCTCCAAACGCACGATAAAAAAATTGATTTACTAAATGTAGACTTAAATTTAGTTCTCACTGGAACAAAGATATTATCAATTAGGTAATTTAAGCACTCTGTTTATACTATATATGCTATCCGAATTTGCTTTCTTGGTATACAATACCACCTTATACTAGCAAGAGACCGTATTGCCCGCGTTGCTTCTAAGCAGTTGTTTTGTCAGCCACCGAAAACCGGGTTTTTGGTTAGGGGCTAGGACTTTTGTTACTTAATTATATTCTAAGTTTTAAAGTTTAATATATCCTGGTTCCGGTTTATGGTACATATTGGTTGAACGTTTTTCAGTGGTTAGGCCAGCCTGCCAACTTAGTCCTGCTATTCTCGTATTTTGATGTTTAAAGAAATCAGTAATGATAATAACAATATGTTCCCATTCGATTAATTTTTCAGTTTTTAAACGGATTCATTTAGAGATTTTCCCCTTTTCGAAAGGCTCTCACTTTTTGAAAGTGAATAAAATTCTAGTTGATGCTTTTCTAGAGAAGTCTCGAAACGCTACCCGTAAACTGGATCCAGGGTGTTTTGTCAACATTAGGTTTAAGACGTTGAATCCAAAGTTATTCAACGTTTTTTTAAAAATATAATCAAAGCCTTGTATGTTTAGGTACATTTGTTCATATAGCGTTTATTTAATGCATTTTAAACTATTTAAACGTGATTAACGTTGTATTACTTTTCCTGATCTTTGATTCTGACGCCCTTTAGAAATCATACAAATCATCAGCCTTGATACTGCCTCGATTAATTAAGGGTCGTGGTCAAACTTCAGATGAAGAAACGGGTAAGGAAAGTCCAATGGGTGGAGTAATTTTAACGTAGTTGAGTAAACTTTATTTTTCAGCTGTTTTGTTTTTAAACCAAAAAGCTTTGTAGTAGGGTATAGAGAGGCTGCTCTGTTTACTGCTAGGCGCCGAAAACCAGGCCTGCGTAACCCTATGTATAGGTTTCGGCTTTTACTGACGTTTTTGAACGACTGCACTGGTTCTGCTCGAAGATTTTAGTTAAAAATGATAAAAATCCTCGTTTGAAAGCAGCATGTACTTTATTACATAATTATAGTGCTAAGGAACGATTTTGGTATTTTTAAACTGATTGCGTTTGAAGGATATCGTCGATGCGAAGTTTTTTTGAATAGCTTATTCTTTCAAAGGAAATAACTCGGGTCTTTAAAAAGCATGGGTAAACAGGATGTAAGGAGCTCTAGGTTTACTTCCAATAGTCAGAAACAAAGGTGCGAGATCATAGCGGACGCTGTCACTTACAACCGCAACCTGTTTCCAGGATCTAGACCCGTAATAATATAACTGTTAACTGTTTACTTTCCGAGATCATATAGTCCAAAAACCTAATAAAATATATAAATCTAACAAAATTGCACAGTAAAACTTGCCAAAATCCCGAGAATTTCTAAACTTAGTTTGCATAAAGAATAGTTTTATTAATTTAGAACAAGTCATGAGGAAATAACATTAGATATTAAAATATTTTCCCCTTAATTGTGCCACGATTATGTGCCTCTGATCGATATGAAAATCTGCTTAATAGGTATGAAGGAGCCAGTCCTTTTAAGCACGTGAAAGTCATCACTGCATCTTTGAAACGTAACTGACGGGAAGCCAATTTACTTGACGTAACACTGGTGTTAAATGGTCATATTTGCCTTTCGCAGTCACTATTCTTGCAGGAAAGTTGTGTACACGTTGCAGTTTGGCGACATTCTTGTTTCGTGTATTCGCCTAAACAGAAGAAGAGTAATGTACGTAATCTGCTGGATACTAAAGCGTTAGTTTATTATTGTCACAAGGGTATGGTCATCTAGGATATGTTTAATTCGGTTAATTTGACACAGAGATTTCATACATTTCGATACTAAACACCCATCCAATTCCATCCCAAATCGTTTGCAGCGGACAGTGGTTGTAGTTGTTTATCAAGAAAGGACACACTGAAATCTTGTATTCCCTTCAACATTTGTGGTAATCCAAAGCTTTTTTTTTCTGGATTAATAAGCAGACTATTGGAAAAACATGCACCACGTTGCATGCACCACACTGCAATTTTCTGCAAATCATTTTGAGCCTGTGGTAGACTTATTTATAATAAAGAACGACAAGTAGACTTTTGAATAGTCCGCAGAAGATTCCAAAGGGCACGTGCACTTGTCATGAACAGTCGGTAAATGATTTATACAGATGTTAAATAACAATAATGGACTAAGCATGGAGGCCTGAGACACACCATATTCAACCGAGCAAGTATATATCTGACAAATTTTGACCAATTTGACCGACTGTTTCCTTTTAGACAAATAACTCTTAAACCAAGCTATTGTGCGGTAGAAGCACCCATTGAGCGAAGTTTGTTAAGAAGTTCAGATGATTAACGCTTTCAAACGCTTTTGATAAATCTTATCAAGCGACTGTAGTCCATTCCTTTCCATCCATATAGCATCCAAGATCGCATCTGTCAAAAATAGATTTCTGTCGAATGACTCCTTGTCTTACTGCTTTGATGAACGGTAATATAAGGCGTTTTTTCCCTAGTTAAATACTCAGGAAATTGATTTTGCGCGACCACATGGAGCATTTAGCGAAGCTGCTGGGAGCGTGACAGAGGCCGGTTATCATTTAGTATATATTTCAAAGTCTCCTTCTTTTAAAAGTGGTGTGACTTTAACAAGAACAATTAGCGATCTATATCTCTTTTAATGTTGG